AGGCCAACTGGCACCTGGACTACCAAATACGTCTACGCGAGTCCATCCATCCGCTACGTCTCAACTTCGCAGCCTTTCGCGGGGCGGTGGCTCGACACAAAACTTGACGGCAGCAATGCCACACATGCATTCCAGACGACATATTAATCAGCGAGCTTCAACGCCGAAACGGCCTTCACCTCTCGCAGTGCCGCTCGACCGTCACGCGGGCACTCGAGCTTGGGGACACAGACCGTGGTGCAAAGGACTGCCATGGTGCCTGCCTTGTCAGCCGAGGGGAGTTGCCACTGAGGTGTGGCTGGGGGTAAAGAAAAGAAGGAAGAAAACAGACAACCCAAGGGAGGGATGGGAGGACGGCACGCCGCCACCACACAGGGATTTTAAGGAGAGGTGTGTGGTGCGCTAGCCGTCGCCCACCCTAGGGAGTCTGCCTCTTCCTATCTCTCTTCGCAGTCTCTCGCCGCTTCTCGCTGCAACCTTCATGCCACCTCGCGGTCGTCCCACTCTCGTCGTTCTCTCCCTTGTCATTTCCTCCTCTGTCGCGTCGTTCTCTTCTGCCTCGTCCTGTGACGCCGCCGCCTGCCGGTCCCTTGTTCTCGCGGTTTCTTTCGCCTTTCGGCGCAACTCCGTCCTCCTCGCGGCGTATCCTGGCCCCTCGAGTCTATCGAGCTCCCCTCGCGCAAGGACCACATTTCTGACTCCCACTCCGATCATTTGCCTACAGGTCATGTTGTTGCTCAGGTCCACTCTCTCTTCGAACACTCGTGCCTCTCTACGGATGATGCCGGCGCTGGGGTCCCCTTCGGATGCATCGTGACATCTGACAACTGGATTTTCACTGGTTCGTCCTCCTCGGAGTCATCTTCCCCGTCCTCCTTCCGCTCGGCTCTTCGCTCGGTACGTTCGGTGTGGCTCACCCTCCATGCCGTGAACAGGCGCTTTATTTATCCACCCTATATTCTTCTCTGGCTGGGGGTACCGACAAAAGACAACTACGCGGGGTTTCTTTCTTTTACGGCAGGCTGGCATGACTGGCACAACTACAACTGGCATTCCTGATTTTCAAAAGCTAGAATTTAAACAAGACAACTCTCTCTCACTGCACACAGGCTCGACACAGGTGCGAACTCAAAAGCTAGAAATCCGAATCCAAACTTATTAGGAGCGTCGTTTCGCGCGCATCAAGGCCCCCTCCGGCTGCGGCTCGGTGACCCATGCGGGCAGCCTACCACGGGCACGGCACACCCTGGGGCTCGTCGGCGGGGAGTGTCCCCTTCGCCATGCAACGTGGTAGGGCGTCACCCGACGTGCTTGCACACGTGCAGCGTGCCGCCGCGCTCATGGAGGCGGACGTGCTGGCCCTCCCGGTCTCTGCCGACAAGAGGAGCGGACACGTCAACCGGGAAGGCCACTACCACGGCCTCGGCATTGCGTCGCGCGTCTGTGGTGCCGAGACGACGCCCAAGCCCGCCGCGCCAACCGGGCTGCGGGCGCTGCTGGCCTTTCTCCGCGCCCAGGCGACCCCTCCACTCCTCGCACGCCTCGGTCCGCTGGAGGCGTCGAGCCCGTTCGCAAGCCTCCTGAGCTCTATTCTGCGCCGGGGTGGTCTCTTTGCGCACCTGTCGGTCCAGGTCCACTCGGGTGGGACATGGGGTCCGGGATGGCACGTAGACCACCCCGTTTCATCACTCCACCTCGGCATCGCTCTGCATGGGCTGCGGACGCTGCATGCCAACTGCAGCGGCGGCGCATTCGCGCGCTGCCCCATCGCGGCGACAACACAGCCAGCGGGAAGCATATACTTTTCTTCCCCTGCCGCGTTTCAACACGGCGTTGTCTACCCCGAGCATAGGGGCGGTAGCTTTGCCGAGAGCATCGTCGCCGTGCAAGCGCGTCTCCTGTCAAACAGCAGCGGCGAAGCCTTCCGCCTCGACTCGGCTAAAATGGGCCGCGATGCAAGGACGACATTTGCCGCAGTGGCCGAGGCGCTGCTGGCGATCCCGCTCAAGCTGCCCTCTCTTGAGGAGCTCCGTGCGGCTGAATCCCTGCTTGCCGTTGATGAATCCTCGATAGTTGCTGGGTACCGCGCGCCCGGAGAAGAAGCTTCATGCCAGGCAGCGTCAGCACATGAGGTGCGGCGGCGGTTGCCGCGGAATAACGCGCAACGTGGCACGGCCGCAGGGGAAGAGCGAGAGGTCGCGGGGATCGGCGCGTCTTCCCAGCACCGATGGGGCCGGATGTGAGGGGGATGGTGAATTGGTGATGGGGGGCAAAAGGCATCCGAATTAAGACGCACCTTCGCTGCATTCTCATTTTCGTCTCTGTGAGAAGAGGTCTGTTTTGCGTAACGCAGGGTTCGTGATTTCACAAGGAAAAACAGCGAATCGATTTCACTTTCACACTTTCTCTGTCACTTTCACGACTTCGCGCACACATTTCATGTGAAACGAAATTTCACTTTTCCGAGCGAGTGTGAACGTGAATAAGGACGGATGCTCCCACCGAGCTCCGACACGCTGACACTCACTTCACACTTGCAAGTGTTGGCTCCACCAGCAGCAGCCAAGCGATGAAGGAGGCTCACGCTGAGCTGATGTGTGCACTAGACCAATATGAATATCTTGGCGTGCTGTGGGCGAATACGGTGCCGATGGTGGATGAACTCTCTTAGCAGTCGAGAGTCGACTCTCGACGCATTGGGAGGGCGGCCGCGGCGTTGTAGGGGCGGCGGCGAGCTCCCGGTGGCAAATACTCGCCTCACAGTCCAAGATGGCGGCTCGCGTCCCCGGCCGTGCACCAGCGTGCCTCTCTAGTCCCGCCTGCCACCCAGATACCGAGGGCGGCGCGCACTCTTCGACGTGGGCTATTATCTGGCCTCGGGAGGGCGGCGGCGGCGGTGTAGAGGCGGCGGCGAGCTCCCGGTGGCAAATACTCGCCTCACAGTCCAAGATGGCGGCTCGCGCCCCCGGCCGTGCACCAGCGTGCCTCTCTCTAGTCCCGCCTGCCACCCAGATACCGAGGGCGGCGCGCACTCTTCGACTTGGGCTATTATCTGGCCTCGGGAGGGCGGCGGCGGCGGCGCAGGGGCGGCGGCGAGCTCCCGGTGGCAAATACTCGCCTCACAGTCCAAGATGGCGGCTCGCGCCCCCGGCCGTGCTCTGGTGTGTCGCTTGGGTCGCCTCTGATGCTGTGTCTCGTCTTAGCCAGAAAGATATCGAGATCGTGCGACGACAACCAACCCTAACCCTAACCCTTACCCTAACCCCTAACCCTAACCCTAACCCTATCCCTAACTCTAGCCCGAAGAACCCAAAGCATTCACGGAGAGCTCGGGTCGACGGACCGCTGATTCCTCCCCATTTGGCTTCGGCCCAAACCGGACCATTCTCTTAGGAGCTGCACAACGCGGCTTGAACTCTCTGACTTACCCTGTTATCCTCTAACCCTAACCCTAACCCTAACCCTAACCCTAACCCTAACCCTGACCCTAACGACACGGTGCTCCTTAAGAGGTCGTGCGCGTCGCTGCCGACGCATCTCGCGTGTATCAATAATGTATTTGCAGTGTATTTGTATTTCGGCGGGCGCGCGCATTAAAAGAACATTGAGGCTACACACACGTCCTCGAGCGCCTGAGCCCCGAGCAGGACACACGAACTAAGCTGCTCTCGCACCTCCTCTCACTAGTTACTCGGTTGGGCTCTCTCCTTTCTATACTTCGTCGCTTTCACCCGCGTTTGGATGCAAACTTGTGAAATTTTCAGTGAAACGGGGGCGGCCGAAACGTTTCATGTGAAATTCACATGAATTCACATGTGAAAGTGAAAGGGTGAAATTTCACTCACGAACCCTGGCGTAACGTTGCTCGTCTGTCTGCTATAGCCGCAGCCACTCCCCCAGCTGCTCGGTGTGAACAGACGAACAGAGTTCGTGAACAGCAGGGAGTCCGCAACTCGAGATCCCTCGAGAGTTCAAGCGGAGTCGGCTGGGGCTATACCAGACAGCCCTAACGTTGCTTACACAAAAATGCGGTCACACGGACCGCGGCCGCCGCAAAACGTGACGAGCACGTGGCATGACCGATGTGTCGGATGTGTGGGTGTGCGGGCCCGCGCGCTCCCGCGCGCCGCGCGGCCCCCGGCCCGCGAGGCACGACCGGCCCCGCGCCGAGACGCAGACCGTTGGCGCGCGGAGTCTGATGTCCGCAGTCCGGAGAGAGACACGCACACCGAAGTCGCCAGTGGCGGAGCGAGCGCAGAGCTCGGAGGGGGCGGGGCGGAGACGCGGGACGCGTCGCGTCTCGCGTGTCGGAAGTGTGGATCTTGTTTCAAAAATGAATCACGAATCAGGCCGGCCGCCACCACATCACAGGACGCATGGGGCTGGAGCCTGGACATGCCATGCATCGAGATCAGAGGACAGGTGAGCGGCTAGCAGAGTGTGGGCGCGGATATAGCACATAATGATCTAGCGAACTCTCTCTCGGGTCTGCTCTCTCTCTGACTCTTCGTCTTACTCTTAGCTCTTACTCCAAGTACTCTACTCGTGTGTGACCCGCGTTGTAAAAAATGAGTTGTCGGTCTTTCGCACAAAAAGGCAAAGACCAAAGTCCAAAGATACGTTCCTCCCCGTTCCAACGCACACACTTCACCGCGTGTGATCTGTGATCTGTGAGGGTCCGCCCGCAGGCGCATTTTGTATACCGAGGCGGTGCCCGGTGCCGAACCTGTCGGACCTTAAGACAGCGTTGTAGATCCCTGGGCGAGGGTGGTGGAGAGGGCGGTCCGGCGGCGGAGCAACCACCTTCTCCCGGCGTGCCGGGAGGCAGGATGTCATCCCCCGTGATCCAGACCGCCCCGTTGGAG